TTTATTGCCTAAATAAAATATTTTTAGGCAATTAAAAATTTAGGAGGCCAGGCACGGTGGCTCATGCCTGCAATCCCAGCACTTTGGGAGGCTGGGGCAGGTGGATTACCTGAGGTCAGGAGTTTGAGACCAGCCTGACCAACATGGTGAAACCCCATCTCTACTAAAACTACAAAAAATTTATCCAGGCATGGTGGTGGGCACCTGTAATCCTAGCTACTTGGGGGCCTGAGGTAGGAGAAACCCTTGAGCCCATGAGGCTGAGGTTGTGATGAGCCAAGATCATGCCATTATGCTCCGACCTAGATGAAAGAGTGAAACTCCATCTCAAAAAAAAAAAAATTAGGAATTTTTTTGGACTATCTCAGTTCAAGAAGACAAATAGAGCATGTGTATTTGCCTACTCTTTCTTCCAAGATCCTCCTGAAATAAGTATAAAGATATCTATAGGATGAATAAGTCTAGTAGAATGCTGAGACAGAAAGTGTGTCATCAGAAATTTTAATGACGTGGATAAATTTTTGGGAGTCAGAAAGCATAGGATCCATATTGATATACCAAAGCAGAGTAATATACAAGCCATCAGCATGCAAGTGAGATGGCTTCACCCATAGTCCTCACCTAGAGAGGCTCCAAGCTTGGAGCCAATGAGTAAAAAAGAACAAACATGGGCCTGGAGAAGTGATCAGGATAGTTAACCACGGAACACCTGGGCCAGACAGGCCCACCCTCCCCACTCCTTATAGAGAGAAGCTATTTACCCCCAGCTGGAGCACCAATGAGTATATACTGTAGAAATTAGACTTTCTGTAGGAGAGATGTAGGGCTTTGGTGGCAGCAGAAGAATTGTCCAGGCTGAAGAACTTTAGAGCTTCTATAATAAACAGAAATTCAGCTCCAGTCCAAAGTGTAGTTCCTCCCTACATATAGATAAAGTCCTTACCCTTTGTGCAATTGTAATAGCACTAAACTTGCTGGCTAGATAAATCTTGACTATGGCAGAGCCATCCACTTACACAGAGTCATGATAAGGCTTCCCATTCAGAAAATGGCCTTCTGAGTAAACACAGCTATTAGTAAAATATATCTTATATGACCTATATATTCAACAGAATTTTTGATTATATATATGAATGATTGACAAAGGATCTCCAGGCATTTGATGAATGAGAGGCAAGAGAAATATGGAGCTGAATATAGATCATCTCTGAAGAAACAGAAAAAACATAAGATCAAACTTATGAAATGTCTGTCCTCAGAGAGATTTGAGAGGCTATTGCATCCATAAAACAAGTACTGGCTGCTTTGAGGCAAACGAGGATTAGAAAACAAGAAAAAATTATTGCAAATTTAAAATGATTAACAAATTTTTAAAAAATCAATGAGAAATCTAAATAGAATGAAAGTCGAAGACCAAATTAGGAACATGGTTGATAAAGGGCATTTCCCAGAAGGCCAGATATAAAAAGAGAAAGACATGAAAAATATAATAGAAAAATTATGTCCTTGAAAATAGATTCAGAGGCCAAGTGTTTATCCAAAGGGAGTTCTGGAAACAATGCAAAGGAGGATGTAATCCAAGACATAATAAAGAAACTTGCCATGTATGTACCTATGCAACAATCCTGCATGATCTGCACACGTACCCCAGAACCTAAAGTATAATAAAAAAGAAAGAAAGAAAGAAGCTTGCTTCGCTCTGAAAAAAGATTCAGGTCTTTACATTGAAAAAGTCCCACAAATGTCAAGCATGTGAATAAAATGACAGTCACCTATACTTAGACATATCTGTATAAATTTTAGAACACTAAGGCTAAAGAGAAAATCCCAGAGTTTTTCAGAGAGAAAAATAGATTATCTCCAAAGAACAAATATAAGATGGACAACAGACCTTGTCCTGCAACACTGAAAGCTAGTAGACAGTGGAGTCATGTCTTTCAAATACTGAGGGAGAATGACTAAGGACTAGATGACTGGAGGCTAGACAATGAAGAGTGAGGGCAAAATTGAGAAGATTACAAGATATGCAATGAATCAGAAACTTTATGATTCACACATCCTTAAAAATTACTTAGTTCTTTTACTTTTAAATTTAAAAAATTATTTTTAAAATCAAGGTCTTGCTCTGTTGCTCAGGCTGGAGTGCAGTGGTGCAATGATGGCTCCTTGAAGCCTCCAATTTTGGGGCTCAAGTGATCCTCTCACCTCAGCCTCCTGAGTAGCTAGGACTACAAGTTTGCACCACTACTCCCAGCTAAGTTTTTTTTGTACTGACAGGGTCTTGCTATATTGCCCAGGCTGGTGTCAAACTCCTGGCCTCAAGAAATCCTCCAGCCTCAGCCTCCCAAGGTGCTGAGATTACAGGCATGAGCCACCAAGCCCAGCCCTGAGTGTATGTTCTAACAGAACAACAGAATCCAAGAAAAAACACTAGGTGCTAATCTAGAGGACTGAAATGAATTCCCAGCTTGATAGCAGCTATGTGGCAGTCAGTGTGAATAGGTCAGAGAACTCTGTGAAGAATGCCTTCAAGAAGAAGGCAGACTCTCATACAAAATAAAAGGAAACTATCTTTTCTGTTTACAAAGCAACAGAAAGCTGGATAAAAACTGAAAAAAAAAATTAAAGCTGTACAAAGCAGTTGTTTTAGGATGTGAAGTAAATGAAAATATGATATCGTTTTGAGGAGTTAGAATAATAAGAGAGCATTAATTTGATTTGGATGTTTAAAATATTTTTCTGTGAGTGGCACAAGTTTAATAAAATAGAAAAATATTCATTTTTCTCTATGGGTTCAACCATGCTAGCTGGTTTTACAACAGGTGATTGTTGTAGTTCTCTATGGCTACATAACACATTGCCTCAGAACTTAATAGCCTAAGACAACAATGGTTTATTATCTTTCATGATTTCTGTGAGCAAGAATTTTGGGAGTAGCTCAACTGGGTGATGGTTCTGACTCAGTGTGACTTGTGAGGTTGCAGTTCAATGGTGGCTGGGCCTAGAATCATCTTGAAGGTTTCCGTGTGCACATGTCTAGTGCGTGGACTGGGAAGAAGAGAGCTAGACAGCCGAGGGCTGGGACAGCTGGGAATTCTTCGGCATCTCTCTGTGACCATGTGGTCTTTCCAGCATTCAGCTTCAATGTAGCCAGACATGGCTCAGGTCTCCAAGGAAGAATCAGGCAGAAGCTATGTTGCCTGTTACATCTGGACTAAGTCACAGAGCATCATTGGCACTGGACTTTATTAGTCCAGGTAGTCAACAGAAAACTGCTGAGGCTCAAAGGAAGAGGAGATAGATTCCTGCTCTTGATGGGAGAGTGGCAAGGCTTTGGAAGATCATGTGGGACTGAAAATATTGCTGTAGTCATTTTGGGGGATACAATCTGTCACTGTGATGACATGATCATATACTGTTTATTAATTTGAATTTTTTTAAAGCCAGAAAAAACATGAAGGCAACCATAATATAGAACAAAATGTAAATTTTATAAAACCTTCAGAATAGAAACAAAATTATATTACTTACATAAATGCAAGGGGGAGAAAAACATGGACGTACTCCTCCTTTCTACTGTCTTATCCTTTCCCTCCCTCCCTTTCTTTAACAAGTATTTGCTGAAGGCCTGCTATGTGCCAAGGACTTTTCTAGGAGACTTATTTTATATAGTGAAGAATCAATAGATTCTATACTTTATCACAAAACAAAAGTTTGAGTGTACTACATAAAATTTTAAGACAAAACCTAGAAGAGTAATAACTAACAAAATTGTGAGGTAGAGGAAGAGAATTCTAGAGATAGAATAGGGGAGGTAAAATTTTCATCTTTGATAACGAGTAGACAAAAACACTACCTTTAACAAGTGAAGAATTTAAATAATTTAGAGAAGAGGAAATCTGTAAGTGATTTTTTTAAAGTATTATATATATCAAGGTATAGATAATCAAATAGAAAATGAGATTTGAACAGACACTTCACAGGAGATAGATGAATGTCTCAACCTCATTAGTCACCAGAGAAATGCAAATTAAACCCAAAATGCTGTAATCCCAGCTACTCAGGAGGCTGAGGCAGAAGAATTGCCTGAACCCAGGAGGCGGAGGTTGCAGTGAGCCGAGATCGCGCCATTGCACTCCAGCCTGGGTAACAAAAGCGAAACTCTGTCTCAAAAAAAAAAAAAAAAAAAAAAAAAAAAAGCAATATCTGTACACACCTAACAGAATGGATAAAACCTGAAAGACTGACAAACCAAACCAACGCAAAGCTGGTCTGAATGTGGAGTGAGGAAGACACTCATACTCTCCTGGTGAGCAAGGTAGAGACGGTAAAGGGCTGGCATAACCACTTTGGAAAACTGTTAGTATCTACTAAAGTCCTATGTATAGGAAGGGGAATTTCTAGGTTAAAAGGTAAGCATGTGTTTTATATATGTGTGTATATATGAGAAATGCCTCAAATATACCAAAAGGCATGTTCAAAGTGGTCACAGGGCTGGGTGCAGTGACTCAGATATTAGGCTACCTGGCCTAATAAAGTCCAGTGACGCTCTGTGACTTAGTCCAGATATATCAGGCAACATAGCTTCTGCCCGATTCTTTCTTGTAGACTTGAGCCATGTCTGGCTACACTGAAGCTGCATGCTGTAATCCCAGCACTTCTGGAGCCCAAGGTGGGTGGATCACCGGAAGTCAGGAGTTTGAGACCAGCTTGGCCAACCTGGTGAAAACCCATCTCTGCTAAAAATATATAAATTAGCCAGGTATGATGGCACACACCTGTAGTCCCAGCTACTCAGGAGGCTGAGATGAGAGGATTGCTTGAACCTGGGAAGCAGAAGTTGCAGTCAACCAAGATCACACCATTGCACTCTGGCCTGTGCAACAGAGTGAGACTGCATCTCAAAAGAAAAAAAAATGCTCACAATACTATTATTAACAGGAGCCCTGAATTAGTCAGAGTTCTCCAGAGCACCAGAACCAATAGGATTTGTATATATAGAAGGAGTTTTATTATAAGGAATTGGCTCATGCAATTATGGAGGCTGACAAGCCTCAAATCTGCTCTAGGTAAGCTGGAGACTCAGGAGAGCCACTGGTGTAAGTAAGTTGCAATCTGAGTCTAAAGGCCTGAGACTCAAAGAGCCAATGGTGCTTCCAGTTAAAGGGCTGGCAGGCTTAAGAGCCAGGACTAGTTTCACTTCAAGTCCAAAGGCAGGAAAAAGCCAATAGCTCAATTTGAAGGCCAGTAGGCAGAAGGAATTATCACTTAGCCAGGAAAGGATCAGCCTTTTTTTTTTTTTTTTTTTTTTTTCTATTTAGGCCTTCAACTGATTGCATGAGGACCACCCACATTAGGCAGGGTAATCTGCTTTACTCAGTCTAATGATGCAATGGCAATCTCATCCAGAAATGCCCAGAATAGTGTTTAACAAAATATCTGGGCATCCCATGGCTCTGTCAAGTTGACACATAAAATTAACCATCACAAGCCTCAACCTGAAAATAACCAAAATGTCTATCAATAGAATAGAGAGCATACTTGTGGTACAGTCACACAATGAAATTGAAATAAAGACAATGGATGCAATTACCTGCACACGTGATACAAATGCATTTTACAAACATTAGGTCCAATGAAGAAGCCAGACATAAAAGAGATCACATAGTATGATTCCATTTATATAAAGTACAGACAGAAAAAACTAAAGCGTTAGAAGTCAGGATAGTTGTGGGGTTTTTCTTGTTTTCGTTTTTTGAGGAGAAGGGGAAGTTTTGAGGAAAGAGAATGTAGTCATTGGAAGGGGCAAAAAGAGATGTGCTGGTAATATTTTTACCTTGACCCTCATGGTTGTTCACTGGGGCATTCAATTTGTTACAATTCACTGAGTTGAATTCTTATGACTTGTGCATTTTCTGTATGGGCCATACTTTGATAAAAAGTTTTTAAAAACTTTATTAAATGAGAGTGATTCAGGAATAGTTTGAACCTTTTTAAAAACATGAACACATATTACTTTTTCTAATTCAAGAAATACTCAGAAAAGCAAATCCTCATCAAGTCATTGTCATGACAATATTGTAAAATGCAACTCAACATAGGCAAAACCATTCTTCAGTTGAATCTGCCTTTAATGAAACAGTTATTTAAAAGTTTCATTATGATAAACACTTAGAAGGCACAAAAAATGTTCAAGTGTATAAAGAATCATTTAGCAAAGTATTACTGCTTTGCATAAACTCATGAACAAGTGACAGTCAAAAGATTACAACAATCTGAAGGTTAATGAATCATTTATTACAACAGAGTGGCATGCACATAAGTTTTACTAAAATATGTTCTTTCATTGTCATTTTATCTACAGCAAATGTTCTTTCTCCAAATTAAACCAATTTAGAAACTACAAAAAAAATCTTTAGGATGATAACAGTTAACAGAACTAACTTCAGTCAGTGGATATAGTCAGGTGGGAGAAATACTGGAAGATACCAGTTGCACAGATCACAATGGAAAACACCTTCATTTAAAAAATGTAAGATGTCTTGCGAGGTTTCGCCGGGGGTCTGGCGGCTGCCACTCGGCGTCGGGTGCGGGATGCGCTCAGAAAAGGAGGGGGCCAGAGGCCGGTCAGCCGCTGCGGCGCGGGGCCCAAGCGGGATAGAGAAGCGTCAGTCGGCCATAGAGGTGCAGTTCTACCGCGACTTGGCGCAGCGACAGCCGGAGACGCAGCCAACTCCGTCCTCCGGTTGTGGGGACGGTGCGGGCAAACCTCTCGAGGAGAAAAGGACGGCCCTGAGCAAGGTGGTCATCTGCAGCCTGCCCCTGGGCCTCACCAAAGAACAGCTGGAGGAGCAGCTGCACCCACTGCCCACGCACGACTACTTCAAGTTCTTCTCCGCCGACCTGAGTCTTTATCCTCATCTCTATTCAAGAGCATACATTAATTTTAGGAATCCTGATGACATCCTTCTTTTTAGAGATCGTTTTGATGGATATATCTTCCTTGACAGCAAAAGCCTAGAATATCCTGCAGTGGTAGAGTTTGCTCCATTCCAGAAGATATAGCCAAAAAGAAGCTGAAAAAAAAAAAAGATGCCAAGACTGGAAGCATCGAAGATGATCCAGAATACAAGAAGTTTTTAGAAACCTACTGTGTGGAGGAAGAGAAGACCAGCACCAACCCTGAGGTTCTCCTGGGGGAGGTGGAGGCGAAGACAAGAGAGCTCATTGCTAGAAGAACCACACCTCTTTTGGAATATATTAAAAATACAAAATTAGAAAAGCAGAGAATTCGGGAAGAGAAGCGAGAAGAACAGAGGAGGAGAGAGAAAAGAAACGCTTGCGGGAAGAGGAGAAAAGAAGAAGAGAAGAAGAAAGATGCAAAAAAAGGGAGACAAATAAACGGAAGAAAACTGCAGAGAAAGAAGTAAGGATTAAGCTTCTTAAGAAACCAGAAAAGGGAGAGGAACCAACCACAGAGAATCCAAAAGAAAGAGGAGAGGAGATTGATCCTGAGGTGGCAAGCAGGAATCCTGTACCCCTGGCACAGTCATAAAAGTCAGGACCGCGGAAGGCTCACTGGAGGAGCCCCAGGAGATGTCACGCAATGGCAGTGACAAAGAGCACACGGACATGGAGAGATCTCAAGAAAAAGAACTTGAAGCACAAAGACCCCATGTGGATGATGGCAGAAGGCACCGAGTTTACCACGAGCCTGGCCTGCTTTCCAGGAGTGAAGATGAGCGGAGATGGGGGAAAGGACCTGGGAAGAAGAGGAGCCAGGGCAGGGGGCCCCCAGGAAGGGCCGTGGAGAGACTCGGAAGAGCACAGAGGTGTGATGACAGTCTGGCACCCAGAAAGGAGCGACTGGCAAACAAGGACCGGCCCACCTTGCAGCTGTATGATCCGGGAGCTCGCTTCCGAGCTGGAGAGTGTGGTGGAAGCGGGAGGAACTGCAAGGCAGAAGCTTCGGGGACTGGTCCTGAGAAGAGGGAAGAGGCACAGTGAGTCACACTGTGCACCTGGCCTCCAAGGACGAGTGAAGGCATCCCAGAAACGTGTACATGACTCCAAGTATTACTGGAAAGGAGCACTTACTCCTTACCAGGAAACTGGAAGCTGAAAATAGAGGGTGACGTGGAAACACACAGAAGCCATTCTAAAGAAAGTAGTGATCTTGTCTTAAATTGAGCAGAATTCTCATAGATTTTACCATTTCTGGTATAAACTAGTAGTTGGTGTTTAGCCAAATCACAAATGATTTTCATTGGACAGTAGAAAAGTATGTGTAAAATAGGGGAGAAAATTAGTATTGAATCAGTACGAATCCTGAAGCACTGTCAGTGCCGTGAGAACGACGTCCACTTTGGGTTTCGTGTGTAAGCAGAGGAGCTGTGAGCCTCATTGTGCTTCCCACTGGCCTCTGAGCCGTGGTACTGAGGAAAGAGCAGTTCTTGTTTGTTACAACCTTTGTGAGTCAGCCACGCCCATGCTGTGTTTTAGTCCTTCTGGTAGGAATATATATCAGACTTCACACTGTATAAATCCAACAGCTTCACCTGTGGCCATTTCAACAGTTTTGTCACTGACTGAATGAAAGTGGTTTCACAGTCTTGGGTGGATACATTTGTGGTTTGTAACCATTATGGTTTAAACCATGGTTTAAGGATTTGCCCAAAAAACAGAAATTTTGTTCGGGAAGGGATAAAGTGGGTACAGCACATAGATGAATGTTAGACACTTTATTTGTAAATAACTTAAAATGGCTTTCTGAAACTATGCATCCTATAGTTTCTTCCTTTCAGTGAAATTGTTAAATGTTAATGTATTTTTCACATTATGATTTTAACCATTTATTAAATAATTTTGTTAAAGAAAAAAATGTAAGGTGTGTTATTTGGATCTAACATTGTCTTTGCTATTATTATGTTTTTATCTTCAACTTTAAAGTTTTAAGGGTATTTAATGTTGGAAATGTGTTTGTATTATATCAAAACTTTTTTTCAAAGATTGTAAAGAAAAAAAATGAACAAAACAAGTTTGGGTATACATGTGATTCATTTAAAAATCATTTGGAATCATTTTTTTAAAAATCTGTATAAATGTAAAAGGGTACAAGTGTAATTTTATTACCTGGATATATTATGTAGTGATGAAGTCTAGGCTTTCAGTATAACCTTCACCTGAATAATGTACACTGTACCCATGAAGTAATTTCTCATCCTCAACTCCCCACCCTCCCACCTTTCAGAGTCTCCAATGACTGTTACTCCATACTGTGTCCATCTGTAAACATTATTTAGCTCCTACTTCTAAGTAAGAACACATGGTGTTTGACTTTGTTTCTGAGTCATTTCACTTAAGATAATGTCCGCCATGTTACTCCAAAAGACATGATTTCATTCTTTTTGATGGCTGTGTAGTACTCCATGGTATATGTATGTGTATATATACAAAACAAGTAGGACATTGAAAGTCAAATACATATATCACATTTTCTTTATCCAATCATCTGTTGATGGACACTTAGGTTGAGAGAGAAGGTATTATGCAGACCTAACTAACTTTTGTCTTTGTTATAATATTTAATGTAAAGAATATTTTATAGCAAAATTAATGGACAGTAAAAGAGCTTCTTAAGCATATAATGCCCTGCTTGTTATGTATTTTTTAATATTATCCCAGGAAATAAACAACCTTTTACAGTGGCCACGCTTCTCTGCCTTCTGGTTTTTGGTTTTCTTTTATTTTGAGACAGGGTCTCACTCTGTTGCCCATGCTGGAGTGCAATGGAACAGTCACAGCTCACCATAGCTTCAACCTCCTGGACTCAAGTGATCCTCCTACCTCAGCCTCCTGGGTAGCTGAGACTACAGGTGCCTGCCACCACACTGGGCTTTTTTTTTTCTTTTTCATCTTTATGTAGACAGGGTTTTGCCACATTGCCTTGGCTGGTCTGAAACTCCTGGGGTCAAGCAATCCCTCCCTCTGCCTCCCAAAGTGCTAGGATCACAGGCATGCACCACTGCACCCAGCCTGCCTTCTGTTCTTGAGTCTCTGTGAGATAAAACTGTTTGCTAAGAAATAAAGGAGAGAGCTCTTTACTAAAGTTTTTGAAATAAAAAATTACCTAGCTGACCAAAGTAGGGGTATAAAGCAGACTTGGAGTGAGTGGGGCTGGTAGGAACTCCCTGCAACACAGGTGACAGCCACGGGGCCGTAGTACACAGCCGTGGTTCTCAACCTGGCTTGCAGATTTGGATCACCTGAAGCTGGCTGGGGCCCAGGCAACAGGATTTGTAAAACCTTGCCAGGAGATTCCATGTGTTGCCCAGGTGGAGAACTACTCTGCAGAGGTATCTTGTCAGAGGGAATGTTGAGAGCCATAAATTAGAATAAATGTATAAAGACGCGTCTAGTTCTATGAAGAAATCTCAAACATGTAGGCAGCAGTGCCTAAGAGACAGACTCATGACAAGGACATGGGTGCTTTTTCAACAATTGAACTGCAGTCTGTGGTTAAGGCTGAGATAAAAAGAAGCCAAGAGAAGTCCAGTGAAAGCAAAGATAAATCCTCTCAACACGAAGTGGAATGATCAGTGCTTAGAGAAAATAATCAAAGCGTAGTTTTCAAATTATATTCTCGAAAGTGCTTTCATCTTAAAAGGGTTTTAGATTTACCACAAAATTGGTAAGATAGAGCTTGCACATATTCCTTTCCCAGTTTCCTGTTCTTAACATATCAGTGTGGTCCATTTGCTACACTCCATGAACCGACATTGATGCATTCATATTAACTGAAGTCCATACTTGATTTAGATTTCTTTAGTTTATAATTAACGTCTGTTTTCTGTGCCAGGATCCTCTCCAGAATGCCGCATTTATGTTTACTCACCATGTCTCCTTAGACTCTTCATGCCTATGACACTTTCTCCTACCATTCTTGTTTTCAATAGCCTTGATGGTTTTGAAGAGTGCAGACTAGGAATTTTGTAGAATGTCCCTCAGCTGGGGCATATCTGATCCTTCCTCTCATGGTTATATGTGGTTATGAATTTTGGGGAGGAAGACCACAGAGGTGAAGTGCCACTTTCATTGCATCATATCAAGGCTACATACTATCGACACGACTTATCACTGTTGACATTGACCTTGATCTCCTGGCTGAGAGATGTTTATCACATTTCTCTACTGCAAAATGTCTCTTTTCCCCCCTTTCCACACTTTGGAAGGAAAGTAGTATGCACAGCTTCCACTTAAGGAGGGAGGAGTCTCTACATCAATTAAAGAATGATACATAATTCTGTTTGTAGACACCAACCAAATGCACAGAACCTTTTCCCAATCCAGCCAGGGCCCGTGGTTGAGCTCAGGCTTTTCAATATTCTCACTCCTCTGACAACTAAAACCTGACTATCTCTGACTCAGACGCACTGCTGCGGGTCCTATTTTTTCTGTTATCATCCTTCTGCAGCCCCAGCATTTCTACCACAGGGCAAGGAGGAGAATCTGGGATTCAGAACCCAAAAATGAAAACACTGTAGACAATGGTGTGAGGCACCATGCCATGGGGTCAATTATGTCCTTACCAGAATTCATGTGTTGAAGTTTTTAGGTCCCAGTATCTCTGAATGCGAACTTATTTGGAAGTAGGGTTGCTGATGGTGTAATTAGTCAAGATGAGGACATACTGCAGTAGAATGGGACCTCATTCCAATATAACCGGTGTCCTTATAAAAAGGGGAAATTCGGGCATAGAGACACACACACAGGGAGAATGCCATGGGAACATGAAGACAGAGCTCAGCATGATGTATCTAGAAGCTAAGGAATGCTAAAGATTGCCAGCAAACCACTGAAGCTAGGAAGAGGCCTGGACAGACCCTTCCCTGGAGTTGTCAGGTAGGCGTGGCCTGTGTCACCCTGGTTTTGGACTCTGGCCTCCAGAGCTGAGACAATAATAAATTTCTCTTTCTTTATTTTAGCCTTAATAATATAGCCAAAGGAGACTAATACTGACTCCAAAGACCTCCTCCCATTACAAAGAGATATAACATCTTTTTTTTTGAGACGGAGTTTCGCTCTTGTTACCCAGGCTGGAGTGCAATGGCACGATCTCGGCTCACCGCAACCTCCGCCTCCTGGGTTCAGGCAATTCTCCTGCCTCAGCCTCCCGAGTAGCTAGGATTACAGGCACGCGCCACCATGGCCAGCTAATTTTTTGTATTTTTAGTAGAGACGGGGTTTCACCATGTTGACCAGGATGGTCTTGATCTCTTGACCTCGTGATCCACCCGCCTCGGCCTCCCAAAGTGCTGGGATCACAGGCGTGAGCCACCGGGCCCAGCCCTAAAATCTTTTTGTTTTTAAGATGGAGTCTTGCTCTGTCACCCAGACTGGAGTGCAGTGGTGCAATCTCAAACTTCCACCTCCTGGGTTGAAGTGATTCTCATGCTCCAGCCTCCTGAGTAGCTGGTATTATAGGCACATGCCACCACGCCTGACTAATTTTTTTTGTACTATTTATTTTTATTTTTATTCTTTTTAAGTAGAGACGAAGTTTCACCATGTTGGCCAGAATGGTCTTGAACTCCTGACATCAGATGATCTGCCCACCTCAGCTTCCCAAAGTGCTGGAATTACAGGCGTGAGCCACTGTGCCCAGCCTCGAAAGGATATAAAACCTTTTAAAAAGCCCATTTAGTTTATCCCAGGGCCAAAGTAAATTCTGTGAACACTCGTTCATTACCTTATTCAATAGGTGTCTACTGAGCCCTCAGAACCCGTGAGAACCCTGATGAGCCGTAGAACCTAAAATGCCCAGCCATTAGCTTGGGGACAGAGACAATCCAGAGACAGGGTGCCATTTTATGTTATTTCCTATAGTGCTTACATTTCAGATTCTGTATCTAAATGTGGTTAATGTATTTCTCACTTGCATAGTATCAAGTGGAAGAAACTTGTAGATCAGTGTCCCTGGAAAACAGACCCGAGACTGAGATTTGTGTGAGGGAGTGAGTGTGCACAGAGGAGTGAATGTTCTTGGGAACAAGACCTGTAGGAAAGCAAGGGAGGGAGAACCAGGCCGAAGCCGAGCTGTGATGCAGCCACAGCACAGCTCCCAGCCCATCCCATGGGGAGCTCTGGGGCTGGGACGACCCTTGAGAGATGTCTTGACTTGTGGCAAGGGGATGGGTCTTTATACCCCTGCATTGGCCAGTCATTAAACGGAGAAAGTGCCCAGCAAAGGACACAGCTTGGGCCAGGCAGTCTGCTTCAGGCCAAGCTTAAGGAGAGACTCACCATGAGCTCTCAGCAGCCAACATCCCAGCAGCTGGAAAAGTGAGTGCTTCAGTCCTGAGTGGAATTCTGCATAATGTGCCACAGCATTCATGTCAAAGGACATCCTTTTCTGGATGCAAAAACAAACATCTATTTGGTGAATATTTGTTAAGTGCCTAGTGGAATTAGCAGACTAAAGGTAACTACATCAGCTCCCTGAACTGTGTTACTGGCAGGCCATAAACACAGAGATAGGCAATGCTTAGGCTGAAAAAATCAGAATTGGGAATGTCAATTAACCCTAAGAAAGGTGGCACAGAATCAGATAGGCCAGGAACAAGCACTGGGTGCATTAACTCCTAGATTTCACAGAAGTAAGTCGATGTGTTCTGTCTTTTGTCAGGAAAACTGGCCCTGAGAACAGTCATGAAATCAACATCGCTGGGCAAGTTCCTCTTTCTTTTGGGACCCACCCAGGCACTTGATCTTTTGTAAACTGTGCTGTGCTGTTCAGTGAACCTGGGTTCCTCCTGAAGGTAACAGCCCAGAGCTGTGGCAGAAGGAGCTTCTCCCCCATGGCCTGAATCCCAGGCCT